CCCCCCCCAACCCCCCCGCTTTTTTTTTAGCCGTGCAGAGCGCGCTTCAAAGCCCAAGAAACTTGTTGACACCCATCATGTGAGCAGGGTGTTTGCAAGTGGGGGGGGCTGCACCCCCAGCCCCCCCCGCTTCTTTTAAGCCGTACCAAGCGTGCTTCAAAGCCCAAGAAACTAGTTGAAAAACATCGTGTGAGCATTGTGCTTGCAAATGGGGGGGGCTGCGCCCCCCCCAACCCCCCCGCTTTTTTTAAGCCGTGCAGAGCGCGCTTCAAAGCCCAAGAAACTTGTTGACACCCATCATGTGAGCAGGGTGTTTGCAAATGGGGGGCGCAGACCCCCCAAGCTTCTTTTAAGCCGTTCAAAGCCCAAGAAACTAGTTGAAAAACATCGTGTGAGCATTGTGTTTGCAAATGGGGGGGGCTGCGAGCCGAAGCCCAAGAAACTAGTTGAAACCCATCATGTGAGCAGGGTTTTTGCAGATGGGGGGCACAGCCCCCCCAACCCCCCCCCCCCGCTTTTTTTAAGCCGTACCAAGCGTGCTTCAAAGCCCAAGAAACTAGTTGAAAAACATCGTGTGAGCATTGTGTTTGCAAATGGGGGGGGCTGCGCCCCCCCCAACCCCCCCGCTTTTTTTAAGCCGTGCAGAGCGTGCTTCAAAGCCCAAGAAACTTGTTGACACCCATCATGTGAGCAGGGTGTTTGCAAATGGGGGGGGCTGCGCCCCCCCCAACCCCCCCCGCTTCTTTTAAGCCGTACCAAGCGTGCTTCAAAGCCCAAGAAACTAGTTGAAAAACATCGTGTGTGCATTGTGTTTGCAAATGGGGGGGGCTGCGCCCCCCCCAACCACCCCGCTTTTTTTAAGCCGTGCAGAGCACGCTTCAAAGCCCAAGAAACTTGTTGACACCCATCATGTGAGCAGGGTGTTTGCAAATGGGGGGGGGGCTGCGCCCCCCCCCCAACCCCACCCCGCTTCTTTTAAGCCGTACCAAGCGTGCTTCAAAGCCCGAGAAACTAATTGAAAAAAAAGTATGAATCCGATGAAAATATAGAGGGAATGATAGAAACCAAGAAAACGAACCAAATAGGGTTTTCCATAGGACAAACTAAGGAAAAGCAACGTACGCTTTGACGTTTGACGAAATCCGTCCAAAATGTAATCAGAAGAGGGTTTCCTTAGGAAAAACCAACGAAAACCTCGTTTTTTTTTCAAACCGTGCAGAGCGTGCTTCAAAGCCCAAGAAACTTGTTGACACCCCCCCCCCCCCCGCTTCTTTTAAGTCGTACCAAGCGTGCTTCAAAGCCCAAGAAACTAGTTGAAAAACATCGTGTGAGCATTGTGTTTGCAAATGGGGGGGGCTGCGCCCCCCCCCCAACCCCCCCGCTCTTTTTTTTGAAGCCGTGCAGAGCGTGCTTCAAAGCCCAAAGGTGTTTGCAAGTGTGGGGGCTCGCCCCCCCGCCCCCCCCCCGACCCCCCCCCCCCCCGCTTCTTTTAAGTCGTACCAAGCGTGCTTCAAAGCCCAAGAAACGAAGGAAATGACAGGATATTGTCCAAAATGTAAGGAAAATAGGGTTTTCCCCCTAGGAAAAACCAAGGAAAACTAAGGGAAATTACAGGAAATCCGTCCAAAATGTAAAAAAAACATAGGTTTTTCCCTATGAAAAACCAACGAAAACCTAAGGGAAATGACAGAAAATCCGTCCAAAATGTAAGGAAAGTAGGTTTTTCCTAGAGAAAACCAAGAAAATCGACCAAGAAAAAAAAAGGCCCCCCCCCCCCCCCAAAAAAAAAAAAACCCAAAAAAAAACTCCACCCCCCTTAAACCACAAGCCTCAGCTGCCTTGTGAGTGCTCAAAAAGCTCTTAGGCCCAAAAGTTCCTACCAAGGATCTTCGGAAGTTGGGGTTCAGGGAATTTGGGTGGTTGAGGGAGTTCAGGATCTAGGTCGGAGGTAGCTCCACAGCTTCTTGTTTCGGGTTCCTGACGGGGTTTGCGGTTCTAGGGTCCACTTGGCACGGGCTAAATGATTTTTAACTTTTAGTACCCAATAATCTTTGTCTAATCCGAGCATCTGTTGAATTAATACATCCACAAATACAACCACACTTTCTGGGGGTGGGGGGGGGGTCAAAAATCTGTCTGCAGGCTTCTGTAGTCTTTCTAGAAGCCGAAGCTTTTTCAAAAAGCTGAGGCCCTTCAGAAAGCTAGGATTTCTTCTGTGATGCCTTACCGCCGAAGCCTTTTCTAACAGCGGAGCACCGCATTTATACAAAGCGACCACAACTATGGCAGGCCCTGGGGCCCCTGCTCCGAATCAATACTTTGCTAGTCAGTTTTGATGGAGATTCAATACGTTCCAATAGTTTTTTACTAGAGACTCAGTCCATTGCCGTGGTCTTATTCTTGCGGCGCCCTGCTTTTCTTATTGCCCCCCAAAATTAAACTGATGCTCGGACTAATCTTGATAAAGTCACAAAAGTTCAATGTTTTATAGGGCCCCAAACCTACCCTGGTTGGGTTTAACCCTAAACCCTAAACCCGAAACCCGAAACCCTAAACCCTGAACCCCAAGCGGAAACCAAGGAAGCCCATGGGCACGGAGCCCACGCCGCACCAGCTGCTCTACTGGGCGCGGAGGCGGAGGGTTTAGGGTTTAGGGTTTAGGGTTTAGGTTTTAGGTTTTAGGGTTTAGGGTTTAGGGTTCAGGAGGCTTTCGGGTTGCTTCGTGCGCACGAGCACGAACACCAGAGGCTTCTCTGGTTTTCAGTTCCTTTGAGAGTTCAGCCTGCAAGGCAAGAAGGGAGACCGATGGCACAAGAGCAACTCCCCGCCTGGAAGCCTTTGAAGCCAAACAAAAACACCCCCTACAACCCTGCAATAACCCGAGCTGCTTGTTCCTCGTAAGAGTCCCAAAAGCCTACTAAGCAGCACTCGGCCTAAACTCGTGCAGCCCAATCCTCAAAACTGTAAGAAACTCCGACTCCGACTCTACAGCCCAATGATCCCCCCCCCCCGTTCAGCCCGCGGTCCTCAACCCTCTGGCCCTCAATCCCCTAAACCCTCAACCCTCAATCCCCTCAACCCTAAACCCAAAACCCTAAACCCTCAACCCTGAACCCTGAACCCTGGACCCTGAGGTGCAGGGAATGCATCATCATCCGCAACTCCACAGAGGCCATGAGCTGTGTGGAGCGGATTCAGCGGAGCCCCTCGGGCGGTTTAGGGTTTAGGGTTTAGGGTTAGGGTACAGGGTTTAGGGGTTTTCGGGATGTAGGGATGGGTTGAGGGGTCTTTCGTCAAATCAAAATCAGCGCAGTATGTACAGATAAGTTCGCAGTTGTGGGTCTGGTCTGGTCTGCCAGGCCATGCACTGTCGTGCTTGAGGGTGCACGAGTGCTTAGGCCTCGACTCACACTTGCTTGGTTTTTCAGATCAGAAGCAGCAACCACGAGCATTCGCTGACAGACCTGTCTATTCACGACTACCAAGTGTTCTATGTTTTTTGCGTGAAACCCGCTGGGGTAACCTAAAGAAAAGAGCTCTGGGCCGGACTTGACATGTCAAAGCAGGCACGCTGCGTTTGGGCTGGGCTCGTTGCTCCGAAAGCGGGTGACCTGTTGGGCCGCGCCCGAAACCATGTAGGGGCTGCTCAGGTACATACGGACTATGTAAGGTATATATATACACACACATACGAACAAGATGGCCCCCAATCAGCCGTTAGCAACACAAAGAAGCCCCCCGAGCTCCGAGGCCTGAACTACGAAATGGCACAAATCAAGGATGCCTTCCGGCGGAGCCTGGGCTGGGGATTAGGGTTTCGGGTTTCGGGTTTCGGGTTTAGGGTTTAGGGTTTAGGGTCTAGGGTCTAGGGTCTAGGGTCTAGGGTTTAGGGGTTTAGGGGTCAAGGGTTTAAGGGTTTAAGGGTTTAAGGGTTTAAGGGTTTAGGTTACCAAAGGGGGGTGCATGCGCGGGGGCTGCGACATCGGGCTCCCTGTTTGGGATGGGGGGGGGGGTTGAGGGTTGAGGGTTGAGGGTTTAGGGGAGTTCGGACGCAGGTTTGATGCGGATAGCTCCGGACACTTGGACCAGAACGAGTTCAAGTACCTGTGCGCCTACATCGGTGCCTGCGGCAGCAGAAGCTTGAAGCTCCCACCCGCCCTCCAAAGGGTTTAGGGTTTCGGGTTTAGGGTTTCGGGTTTAGGGTTTAGGGTTCAGGATCAAAATCCCACCCAAAAGAAGCCGAGAAGTATGCTTCGAGGGTGAGCTCGGTCGTAGGCTTGTAGGATTCAGCGTCTGGCCGGTGCTCCAGTGGAGCCCTCCTGGTCGCGGGGCTTCAGGATTTGAGGGGTTTGGGGCTTCAGGGGTTTGGGGTTTGGGGTTTAGGGTTTAGGGTTTTTGAGAACTGGGGATTCAGGGGCGTTCACGTTTCAGGGATTTAGGACCGTAGGGCTTCGGCAGGTGCGGCATTCTTGCCGCTTGTGGGTCTGTTCGATCAACACAGACTCCCAGCTCCCTTGAGTATAAAACCCTTAGTCCGACACACCATGGTTTAGGGTTGAGGGTTTAGGGTTTAGGGTCTAGGGTCTAGGGTTTAGGGTCTCAATGTCCGCAGCCTTGGGCCGATGAGAGCCGCGCCCTGTGGCTTTACGGGCGCGCGGTTTGGGGTTTGAAGCCTGGGGTTTTGGGGTGTTTAGGTTTTTAACTTCGGCTAAACCCTAAACCCTAAGCCCTAAACCCTGTACCCCAAACCCCAAACTCCAAACCCCAAACCCCAAACCCTGAACCCTAAACCCTAAACCCCAAACCCTAAACCCTAAACCCTAAACCCTAACCCCCAAGCCCTAAACCCTAAACCCTAGCTCCCTGTTGTTTTGCAGGCTGTGGGCCTCCTTTTTTATGCCTTGCCTTGCCTGAACTTTGTAGCTGAGTAGGTAACCTTTAACCTTGTGGCGTTTATATAACCCTACCTTAAACCCGAAACCTGAAACCCTAAACCCTAAACCCTAAACCCTGAACCCTGAACCCTGAACTCTAAACCCGAAACCCTAAACCCTAAACCCTAAACCATTTGGGCTAGGGTACTCAGCCCCGAAGTGAGGCTGGGGCGAGGAGGAGGCACAGGCCATGATCATGGACCTCGACCAGGATCAGAAAGTCTCCTACGAGGACCTAAAGGTTCAGGGTGTTAGGGTTTGGGGTTTAGGGTTTCGGGTTTAGGGTTTAGGGATTATAGTAGGATTACGTAGAAGGGTGTTAGGGTGTTAGGGTGTTAGGGTTTATAGGGTTTAGGGGTCGGGATTCCTGAGATGTTTGAGGCTTCCGGAGGCGGGCGTGAGATATTCAGATGCCGCACGGTGACCCTCCATGAGCTCGAAGTGGTGTCTTGGGGGGCCTTCAGGATTGGTGCGTTTCATCTGCTGGGTTCAGACTCCTGAGCCCTAAGCCCTAAGCCCTAAGCCCTAAGCCCTAAACCCTAAACCCTAAACCTTAAACCCCAGGCTAGAGTTTATGCACCAAACCCGAACCTTAAAATGCAAGTGGGAGTCTACGGAAATTAGGGTAGTAGGATTCCTTATAGTAAGGACCCAATAAGGTACCCCAATTTTCGGAAACCCCCCAAGTCTAAGCCGAAGGAGTTCCAGCTCTTTGTGGGCCACATGGGTCTGCAGCTTAATGTGAAAGCCCATCGTAGCATGGACTCGTGTGCAGCGCCTCCTGTCTGAGAGCCGTTCCTTAAGTTTTGTACCTCAAGCCAGGCAACAGCCCTATAGCTAGCTGACAAGGCAGAACCTGCGTGAGACTAAGCAAGCCAACATGGCTAGGGTTTAAGGTTTGGGGAACGCGCCCTAAAGCCTGCGAGGAGTGTCTGAGTGGGTCCTGACATCCTCTGGTACAAAGTAAAGGGACCCGGTGCCTTAAATTCTGAACGAGGTGTTTGGTTTAATAGGCGCACAGCCCGAAGCCTCAGGTACCAAATCCTGAGCCCTAAACCCTGAACCCTAAACCCTAAACCTAAACCCTAAACCCTAAACCCTCGAAACCAGGTGGCCTTCAGCAGCTTTTTGAAAATCGCCGGAAGCGTGTGGCCAACAAGAACTGGGGCGCCTTGCCTTCAGTGCGGGGGTGTGTGGCTTCATCACTCCCTAGGTTCCCCCCATAATTAAGGCTTTTTGTGGAGAAACTCAGCCTAATTCAGGTGATTTAAGGGAGGGAACCTAGGGGGGGGGGTAGTTTAGGGTTTAGGGTTTAGGGTTTAGGGTAGTATGGAGGGGCTAGTAGGGAAACCCATGGCTTCAGGGCTACCAAGAGGTCATGAAGCCCTCAGTCTTCGGATGCAAATTTCGGGTTTAGGGTTTAGGGTTTAGGGTTTAGGGTAAGCAAGGAACTTTCAGACTCTCCACCCCCAAGTCCTAAATGGCTCAGGGTCTGAGACTTCGGGCCGTCGAGCCCCAAGCCCGAACCCTAAGCCTGCAAGCCCAATCAAATCCGCGACCAAACCAGTGAACTCTAAACCCTAAACCCTAAACCCCGAACCCTGAACCCTAAACCCTGAACCCTGAACCCTAAACCCTACAAACACCCACGCAGCCTTCGCTTCGCCCCAACAACCTCTGTCCCCAGCCCCTCTCCAGGTGAGGACCCGCCGGCCGTTGTCGAAGTTGGGGCCCGGATACGCGCCTTCTACTACACCGAGGCCTTCGGTGTAGGGTTTCACCTTGAAGAACCTGAGCTTTATAAGCTTTCAAGCCATTGATCTGGGGTTCGGTTTCGGCGTTGAGGCTGCTTAGTGCTTGAAGCTCACAAGTACGATGGGAGTACAGTTGCAGGTGCTTGTCTTCTTGCTAAAAAAGAAACCCTCAAAAAAAGTACTCATATTGTTTGCCTGTACTGCCAACACACTTGTACTCGTACAGTCTTTGCAAGAGGATGAGACGGTGAACCGATGGAAGTCGGTGGCAAGCTGTCAATACATGGCGAATGACATGTTCCTTTTTGATGATATGCAGTGTTGCACATAGCCCATCAACTGCTGTCCAATGCCCACTGAAGGCCGAACTGTTTTGTGATTTTGAGCTTCGTAAATTTGTCAGACGTGTGGAATGACACTTGAAAAAAGGATCGGGCCTTGTCCTGCCATGAAGGTTTTGTGCTGCGTCGAAGTCTCAGACACCTGGAATGACAAACGCAAATGCTGGCGGGGTGCGCTGCAAAGCATGCGTGGTAGATGGGGTGGGTGCTGTCTTCCAATGCCCCCAAGCTGCCGGAACGTGACCCATGCGGGGAAGTTGCGCCCCATACACCGCTCGGGGTGCTCTCTACATCGAATGTACAGCGGCTTTTCCTCACACACACAGCATGAAGTCGGTCCAGCGGTGCTGTAGGGATTGAGCTTTGTCATGTACAAGCCTTTAGGTTGCTTGGGACTCTTGTAGCTTCGGCTCCACAGGGTTCGATGCATATGTTGCAGCATTCCAGGCACATTCGACAGCCAAGCATCCACAGCCCGAAGCCCTAAGACCCCAAGCTCCAAACCCGCATGATCCACGGTAGCTCGGCATGAGTTCTTAAAGCTTCTAAACACCCTGGGAGGATGGCAAGAAGTCGTCGTCCTGGCGAGAAGCGCAGGCAACAGCTGTCGGGTTTCATTCGGGTGTTATAGGGCTCGGGGTTTAGGATCCGCAGAGTTTGGGTCCGGGTGCAATTTTACAATTCCTGTACATTTTTGGAATAATATCGCAAAACCCCGCAGGTTCTGGAGATGAACGTGATGCCAGAGAATGGGATCAGGCCGGCACAGTGATGCGCAGTGCTTGCTGCATTTCGAACCTGCACCCCAGGGCAGGTTTCGGGTTTCGGGTACCTGAATTCATGCTTTTTTTCGCCTGACCGACAACACTGATCTCTAAACATGAACTCTACATCCTAAACCCTAAACCCTAAACCCTAAACCCTAAACCCTAAACCCTAAACCCTAAACCCTAAACCCTAAACCCTAAACCCTAAACCCTAAACCCTAAACCCTAAGCCCTCGTCCTGCTAGCCCTGCCCAGGCTTCTCTTCGGCTTTGGGGAGGACAAGTCCGAGCGACAGGCCAGCTGAGTAACGCCCAACCACCGAAGCCCTAAACCCTACACCCTAAACCCCAAACCTAAACCCTAAACCCTAAACCTTAAACCCTAAACCCTAAACCCTAAACCCTAAACCCTGAGTACAAAGCAGTTGTTTTCCTGAGGTGGTGCCCCCAAGCTGGATATTCTATGACAGCCGCGACAGCGAAGTGGTCGCTGCCCTGAGGGAGGCGGCGAGGGGGCGCTCGAGGAATATGGGCCTTATTTGGGGTCCTCCTCCTATTTGGTATATCATAGGGGGTCCCTCATCTTCGTAACCCCCAGAGGTTCAGGGAGCTTGTCAACACTGGGGTTGAGGAGTTTTAGGATTCTTTGCTCTTTCCCTTGTCCCTCGGGTACATCTGTTGAGAGAAGGTGTCCTAAACCCTACTCCTGGTTCAGGGTTCAAGGTCTGGGCTTTCAGGAACACTGCTCAGAAATCGCTGAAATGCCCGTGAAGATTCCGCAGTCCTCGGAACCACGCCCAAAATCCCAGGGTACTGCTGCCCGAAAGTCCTCTTTCTGAAAGCCCCCAAAAAGGGAGGTTTAGCCATAACCCCTAAACCCTAAACCCTAAACCCTAAACCCTAAACCCTAAACCCTAAACCCTAAACCCTAAACCCTAAACCCTAAACCCTAAACCCTAAACCCTAACCCTAAACCCTAAACCCTAAACCCTCAACCCTCAACCCTAACCCCCAAACCCTAAACCCTAAACCCTCAACCCTAAACCCAAAACCTTAAACCCACAACCCACAACCCACAACCCACAACCCACAACCCACAACCCACAACCCACAACCCACAACCCTAAACCCTAAACCCTAAACCCTAAACCCTTTTGCCAGGTTGGCATCCTCGAGGAGCAGCAGGCCTTCTGGGCCTCCATCTTCCCCCAGTCGGAGATGCGCGCGGCAGGGGGCCCCAGCTTTGTGGGTTTAGGGTTTAGGGTTTAGGGTTTAGGGTATAGGGTTTAGGGGTTTAGGGGTTTAGGGGTTTAGGGGTTTAGGGGTTTAGGGGTTTAGGGGTTTAGGGGTTTAGGGGTTTAGGGGTTTAGGGTTTAGGGGTTTAGGGGTTTATGCAAGACGTCGGGGTTTAGGGTTTAGGGTTTGGGGTTTGGGGTTTGGGGTTTGGGGTTTGGGGGTGGCTTTGAGGAGATTTCAGGGTTAGTGTTTAGGAGTGCTTGGGGTCTGAATGGCATTCAAGACTTTAACCAGAAAGAATGCACCCTAGACATCCTTTAAGCCCGAAACCCGAAACCCTAAACCCTAAACCCTAAATCCTAAACCCTAAACCCTAAACCCTAAACCCTAAAGCGCTGCAGAGTTTCAGCCCAGGTCGCCAAGTTGGTGCCCTGCCAGCGGCAGGCCCTGGCGCACGTGCGGGCGAATGCCTCGGTCAACCATGACAAGGCGCTCAAGGGAATCGGTTTAGGGTTTAGGGTTTAGGGTTTAGGGTTTAGGGTTTAGGGTTTAGGGTTTAGGGTTTAGGGGTTAGGGTTTACTAAACCGAAACATTAGGACTTCGTTCAGGCTTTGGGGTGCGTGCAACAGAAGTACTACAGAGACTCCCACGTTCAGTCGTTCAGTGTGGTATGGTCCCAGGGTTTCACGTGCTCGACAGGATGTTCAGCTTCGTGGGGCTGCAGGGCGTACAAGTCCGTCTATTTTCAGGTTCAGAGAACCCCCTAAACCCTAAACCCTAAACCCTAAACCCTAAACCCTAAACCCTAAACCCTAAACCCTAAACCCTAAACCCTGAACCCTGTCGGCCGTGGAGGCCCTCGTCAGCGTCCGCCAGCGCTTCGCCGAGCTCGGCTACGGCGAGGAGCAGCTGCAGGCGGCAGAGCTTGGCCCAAGATCTCCCTCAGAGCCTGCAAGGCTGTTGAAGCCTTCAAGGGTTTAGGGTTTAGGGTTTAGGGTTTAGGGAGGGTATAGGGTTTAGGGTTTAGGGTTTAGGGTTTAGGGTTAAGCCCCTAAACCCGAAACCCTAAATCCTAAACCAGCCCAGGCCCGCCCTAAATCATGCAAGCTTTATTAATACTAAGTTTTTACTAGGCGGCAAGCTTCCGCCACTTTTGGGGAGTCGTTGGGGCTGCTTTTTTAGTGGGAGCATGGCCCATGGTGGTAGGTGGGGCTCTGTTTTCAACTCCTCCTTGAAGCCGTACTACCCAAGGCAAGCAAGTTAAGCCTGCAGCCCGGAGGTCTTCACACGTACAGCCGGAAGCCCCCCCCTGGAACCGGACCTTTCAATCCCGGCTTGAGAGTCCAAAGGCTGAATGCTTATTTCGGGATTATCGGGATTATTAAACCCTAAACCCTAAACCCTAAAGCCTAAACCCTAAACCCTAAACCCTAAATCCTAAACCCTAAACCCTAAACCCTGATAAGCTCTAAACCCTGATCCATAAGCCGTGAGACCCTAAATTAAGACCCGATCTGGGTTTTCCCCTGCGAACACCGTGCAAGGCAGTCCTTGGCTGGATCCAGGAGGGGGGAGTAGGGTTTAGGGTTTAGGGTTTAGGGTTTAGGGTTTAGGGTTTAGGGTTTCGGGTTTCGGGAGGGCATCTAGGTGAGTTTCAGGTCTTGAGCCTGAGGTCGATTCGTACTGCGCGCACTTGACGCTTCATGGAGAGTTTTTGAAGTCGGCCTGCTGTGCTTGGGGTGTCCTGCCGAAAACAGGGGTACCTTATTGGGGTCCTTAAAATAAGGGAATCCTACCATTTGGGTCCATATGAGGGCTCCCTTGTTTTCGTAAACCTTCATAGAATTCCTGCTTAGGAGTACGTGATCATCTCCCCGTAGAACGGAGCGTAGTTCGCGTGATCCCTTTTTGTGTTTATGTGGGCACTTCCCTACTCTTCAGTTCTTTCAGGCTGCAAGCACAGAATGACCCTGTGAAAGCACGCTGCTTAAACCCGAGTCCCTAGTCCTCGGCAATGAGTCCCACTGAGTAAAAAAGTTGTTTTTTTCTTGTATACTCAACATCTGAGTGGGTACACATTCCTTTCTCCTTGCGGTCACCTAAACCCCTAAACTCTTAGGCCCTGAACCCTAAGGCCCTGCGTCATGACTGCATACTTAACATTGGTATCCCAGTGGTACCCTTTACAGCACCCTTTTATTTACTCCGGGGTTCCCTGATAAAGTAACCAACCCCCAGAAAGGGTGCCCTTATTATAATACAGTTCCTGCACTACCAGGCGGCTACCAAGCTTAACATGTTTAAACGCCGTGTTGTATTGGCGCCAAGTGTGGCGCGATGCAGTGTCGCCTCAAGTACCATAGTCTGGTGGTAAGTATACTCGTATTCCCAACCAAGGCGGGAGGCCAAGCTTAGATAGGGCCCTTAAGAGTTAGAATCGGGTTTTGGGGGCCATTGTAGTCTAATTGTATAGGCACCATAAGGGAAGAATGTCTGCGATTGTTCCCATCCCCACATGTTGGGTTGCTGCCGCTGCGCATTGTGAGACAGTCAACTCCAGGTCCGAAGTGCTTAGACTTGGAGGTTCATGGACCAATTCTGAGTGTACTTATAACCATATTAGGGCACTTGAGGAGCTTATATGAACCTCCAAGTACTGTGAAAAAAGGACCCATTCCATGTCACGTAAGACCACGGACCCAGAGTAGGCCCTTCTTGCCTCCTTTTGAGGGTCTAGGGCTCCCTTCTAAGCCCCTTGAAACCAGAAAGGGTGCCCTTTTTTGATTCCTAAATTACTCTTGGTTCTAGAGATTCTTCATGTCCAGCACATTTGAAATAATTCGTTGGCGCCAGAGGGGTCTGTTGTTTTTGCTTACCTTTAAGCCCAAAATCAATTTCCCAGTTCCAAGTTTACCAGGGAGAAAAGGAGAGACACATCATTGAGTCAAAAAAAGATAGCATTCCCTTCAGACGTTCTTCCTGGATCTAGCAGCAACCTTTCTTGACTGGACTTGCATCTCACTCAATCCGCAGAGAACTTGTGAGTAGGAATTATGGCAATTCATGCTTTTAAAGCGGACTGTACCTCCAGACAAACGTTCTGATCAGGCATGAACGTTCTTTCTTCTCCAGACACGAAAGCTACGTTGAGAGATCTCCGCTGCAAGGAACGGTCGTGAGAGGCGCCGCTCAATCTTTCTTTCTTTCGTTCTTTCTTATTTATATGGGTTATCTTCAAGAGATTTTTTTGCAGCAATTGTTTATATCGCTAGCAACTGTACTTGTTGCTGAAGCGGCTGCCAAGACCCTGAAGCCTTACCATGGGCCTAGCATCGAGAGGATCTGGCGCCCATGTGCGTCCATGTCCACATTGACAACGTGGGCCGATTTCTGGAAACGGCGCGCCCACGGGGATCACAGAATGTTTGGGCTTGTAGGGCTTTCGGGACTCCATGCAGTGTTGGGTGGCTTGTAATGGGCTTGGGTGTTGGAGGGGTTTGCCTGCAGTTCTTGCCATACTCCTGCACCTGGCATCCGCAACCCTCTGTCCCGACAGCCCTGTAGCCTAAGCCCGAAGCTCTTCATTGAGCCAGGATGAGTTCTACCGAAATCAGTTCGAGACTGGAACCTCGTGCGGCGCGTTGGACGATGGCAACGTGATCCGGAAGGCGGGCATCACCCTAAACCCTAAACCCTAAACCCTAAACCTTAAACCCTAAACCCTAAACCCTAAACCCTAAACTCTGGCAGTCTTTGGGGGCCTTCCGGGTTCAGGTTTCGGAGCCTCCTCTCCGGTCCCTGCAGCATGGAACCCTTACCCAAAGCCCTTTACCCTAAAGCCTAAACCCTCAACCCTAAACGCATCCCTCCGACCTCAGCCACGGGGTAGGGTGACATTAAGCTGGTGGCCTTTGACTTGTTTCTGAGGCCCTCAGAAGGTTACACACTGGCGAAAGCACGGAACACAAGGAGTCAAATGAGGCATGCGCCCGAAAGGAGGGGGGGAGTTGGCTTGGCTTGGGTGGCTGGCCCGCTTCAGACGGCTTTTGTGGTGAAATGAAGAAAGGCCCGCCAACCATACGGCTGCACTTGAAACCTCCTGGGCCTGGGCACAAGGAATAGCCACTGGACCTTCACGGCTCTCAACATGCGTGCCTGCAGTGTCGGGGCGCGAGGCCCTGACGTAGCGACCGTTGCCTTTGCGCAGGGCTGGGAGAAGGAGCTCTTCGGTGGCTACTACGACGAGGCAAAACCCTTCGAGCGGTGCAAGCTGCTCAGCACGGTTCAGGTTTTGGGATAACTGGGGGTCTAGGGCGAGGGCTGCCTTGAGGAGGATCAGGGTTGTGCGGGTACATCCGGGCTTTCAGCCCCGAAGCTTGAGCCCCTTAGCCTCAAACCCAGAAGCCACCAAATTGTGCTTTGTGGTACTTTGCTGTAACTTTAGATCCTTACCTTTTTGGGGTTTATTGGGTTTCTTATTAAGGCAGCTAAAAGTTTGATTTATAGCTACCCTCCTGAGTGCAGCCAAGTGTGGTTCTGCGTACCTTCGTAAGGTACGGCGCGCTGAGTGCTGGGATCCCAGCTTTGCGGATGCAGTGCCCACCACTCCTTCATGTGGAGGTTCGAAAGTCGTGAAGTGCAGAATCCTAACGGGCAGCTGAGGTGATGAACGACTACCGGGGTGTCCTCAGCGCCTACCAGCATCTGGTCTTTGATGACGGTAGAGGTGTTTGTTGAGGGAAAGAGATTCTCCCGCCAGCAAGCTGTTCTGCGCCCTCACCCCAGGACCCTGCAATAGGCTGCCTTTGCACTCAATATGTCTTAGAAGCCAGTGCAACTAGGGTTCATGGTCTGTGGCTGTAGATGGCTCAGCACACCCCTAAACTTTAAACCTTAGTCCGAAAGGTATGGAGACTCCTACTTGGTCCTGATGCTCCGCTGCAAGACGAGATGTGGCGTTTTGTGCCTGAAACCACAGCTGCCGGAGGAGTAGCAGACAAAGCTTCTGGTGTTTATAAGGCACCGGGTCCATGGATGCTTGCGTCTTTATTATGATTATTCTGATTATTATGATCATTATGATCATTATGATCATTATAATTATTATGATTATTTTCATGTGTTGCCTCTCTGAATCGAGGAAGGATGTGCGACTGCGGACGACCTTTGCGGCAACGGACTCTGGCGGAATTGCAGGCATCCGGTGCCTGAAACCAGCATGAACCTTAATTACCCCAAAATGCCTGAACCGTAAAATAACCCCAAGGCTCAGGCCAGCCTGATGCCTGGTGCAAGCCAAAGGCTGAAAACTCTTTTGAAAAAGCCTGAACTTGACTTTAAACCCGAAAGCCCGACGCGAGTCAAAGAACACCCAACTCGAGCGTCACAATGGCAAACGGCTTCCTTGCCTGCCCTTGAGCCTCAAGGGTTTAGTCTTTGGGCAGCGTTTAGGCTCTCATGGGGCTTCGGGGCTTTCGGCCGCACGTTACCCTAAACCCGACACCCGAAGCCCTAAACCCTAAACCCTAAGCCCTAAACCCTAAACCCTAAACCCTAAGCCCTAAACCCTAAACCTGGGGGTGGTTGAACTTTTCAGGCTCCCGCCTGGCTGTGCTGGACAAGTACGCGCACGTCCTGGAGGCGCTTAGGGTAAGCGCCCCGAACTTCGGGCAACCTAAGCCCTAAACCCTAAACCCTAAACCCTAAACCCTTGTGAAAGCCCTGCCCCCCCCCCCCCCCCCCCCCCCCCCCACCCAAAAAAAACAAAAACAAAGAGCAGAAAGGAGTACAGCGACTCCGAGCTCTCGGAGCTGATCGAGGCCTTCATGGAGGGTGTAGGGTTCAGGGCGTTCAGGATTCAAGGTTGGGTTTAGGGTTTAGGGTTTAGGGTTTAGGGTTTAGGGTTTAGGGTTTAGGGTTTAGGGTTTAGGGTTTAGGGTTTAGGGTTTAGGGTTTAGTGTTTAGCTTAGGGTTTGGGGTTTAGGGTTTAGGGTTTCGGCTTTAGGGTTTAGGGGTTAGTTTAGGGTTTGGGGTTTAGGGTTTAGGGCTTGGGGATAAGGGCTGTTAGGGTTCAGGGTTCTCTAGGCGGCAGCGCGAAGGGAAAGCCTTCGACTGTATTTTGCATGGCGCTTTTTCATGCAGTTTGCACAGTCTGCCGGGCCAAGACCCTAGACCCTAAACCCTAAACCCTAAACCCTAAACCCTAAACCCTAAACCCTAAACCCTAAACCCTAAACCCTAAACCCTAAACCCTAAACCCTAACCCTAAACCCTAAACCCTAAACCCTAAACCCTAAACCCTAAACCCTAAACCCTAAACCCTAAACCCTAAACCCTAAACCCTAAACCCTAAGCCCTAAACCCTAAACCCTAAACCCTAAGTGACTCTCAACAGCAAAGGCTCCTCCGGAGTCAAGGTCCAAGAGCCCCGAGGCCCCCCAAAGTTCTGCAGCTCCCCCTAGGCGTACTGAAGAGAGGTAGCGGCAGGTTCAGGGTTTAGGGTTTAGGGTTTAGGGTTTAGGGTTTAGGGTTTAGGGTTTAGGGTTTAGGGTTTAAGGGTTGCCGTCCAGCTTGCCAATTAGGTGGCAGTGGCGAACACGTCCATGAACGACACCGGAGGCTGGAGAGTCGGGTTGCAGGTTTCGGGGCTTGGGAGCTTAGGGCAGATGGTTTGAGAGGCTTGAACTTCCCACCTCAGCCCCGACTCAAGCCTGAACCCTAAACCCTAAACCCTAAACCCTAAACCCTAAACCCTAAACCCTAAACCCCAAACCCCAAACCCTAAACCCTAAACCCTAAACCCTAAACCCTACATCCTGAAGCTTAAAACCCTCAACACCACAAAGTCATCTTGCAGTCCCCGTATTTGTAAACCCCTAAACCCCAAACCCGATTGACTCCACTTCAAAAGTCTAGGTAGGCACCTGAAGCATTTTACATTAACCCTGATTGGGTTTAAGAGGATCATCTTGAGGAAGATTTTCAAAGGGTTTTTCGGGCCATCCTCGAACCAGAAGCAACACGACCGTAAAACCTAAACCCAAAACCCTAAACCCTGAACCCTAAACCCTAAACCCTAAGCCCTAAACCCTAAACCCTAAGCCCTAAACCCTAAACCCTAAACCCCAAACCCTAAACCCCCAAACCCACACGGAGGCCTCCAGCCGAAGATGCTCCGGGGGATGTCGGCGGACTGCGGCGGCGAGTGGATCACGCCCCCACCCCGGTTCGGGATTTGCAGGGGGTTTAGGGTTTAGGGTTTAGGGTGTAGGGTTTAGGGTTTAGGCTTAGGAACCCCCCAACAGATAAAAACAAATGTTCCTCCTTTAAAGGGCTATGTAGGGATTGTTGACTTCTATTGTTTGGGGGGTTCTTGAGCAGATAGTAGGTTAGGGTCCTAGGGTTCCGGGGTCAAGGGGTCTTCCTGCATTATGGGCTCACGGGTTAGGGGTCGAGATGGGTTAGGGGTTGAGGAGCTTCGGACTTTGGTTTGGGGTTTTGGGCTTAAAGGCGTAAAGGTTCACGTGTCACCGCTCTTGGTGCTGGGCAGGATAGGGTACAGATCCCAACGCCAAACTCTGATCTCGAAATCCTAGGGGTGGAGCCACAGTTTAGGGTGTAGGGTGTAGCACGAATTCCTTGGGACTGGGTGTACTTTGTACAGACATACCTTGGTAGCACCGAAGCAGCTTGAGTTCAGCGAATGCATGTTGTAGGAACGACGGGCTGGGAGTCGGCTAGAAGTGACAAGAAACTTCGCTTGGCTGCGGTGGCTTCGAATGCCGCCGGCTGCTAGCGTAAGGAGTCCTAGTCCTAAAGCCCAAAAGCAATTCCCGAGCTAGCCTTCGGCCCGAAAACCCTAAACCCTAAACCCTAAACCCTAAACCCTAAACCCTAAACCCTAAACCCTAAACCCTAAACCCTAAACCCTAAACCCTAAACCCTAAACCCTAAACCCTAAACCCTAAACCCTAAACCCTAAATGCGCTCTCAGGGTGGGCTTCCCGGACTTGCCGCAGAAGAAGGGCTGTGACCTGGCGGAAGAGCCATCTCAAGCCGGGGTTAGTTTAGGGTTTAGGGTTTAGGGTTTAGGGTTTAGGCATCAGAAAGCCAAAGACTGACTTACTGTAGGGGCTTGAAGTAGTTCGTATAAAGGGACCTTAAGGGAATCATTTTAGTAGTTCTTCCGACCCCTATAGGAACAACGCGCGCCAAGCATGAGTTCAGGCTGTAGTGATCGGGTTGTCTCGGCGTGGTACTGCAGAAGCGAGGCTTGAAAGTGCTTTTCACATTGTGGGGTTTGGGGGTGCCGCGGGTTTGGAGTTTAGGACTGGGTGGTTTTTGAGGTATCACCCAAAACCCTACACCCCAAACCAGGTCTTTGTCGAAGGTCAAGGATCGAGGCTTTCCGTGCTGAATTGGGATTGCCAGGCTACTACTTCGAGGTGGAGCTGAACCGTGGGTGCATGGCCCCTCAGGCCCCTCTGCGCGCAGTTGAGGATTCAGGTTTCGGGTTTGGGGTTTAGGGTTTAGGGTTTAGGGTTTATGGTAGGGTTTAGGGTTTAGGGTTTAGGGTTTAGGGTTCAGGGTTTAGGGTTTAGGGTTTCGGGTAATAAGGGGTTTCAACAGTTGGGCGTCCAGGGTGCAGGGCTGAACTTCGGGCTCCGTTCGGGTTGTGGGTGGGTTGAGATGCTTGCGCATGCTCCCGCGGTGCTGCGGAAGGAAGTGTAGTATCCTGAGCTGCCTCACACCAAGGTCGGCTTTCTGTCGAACAGGCCCCTTGGCATCAGAAGCTGCGAGCACGACTAGGAGTCACTAGGGGTTTAACCTTCGGTGTCTCAGGGTGGTGATTTGGGGTTTTACGATCATAAATGGACCCCCTAATCCAGATCCCAAGCCCTCGTAATAAGGACCCCAAATAAGGTAACCCAAATATCGAAACCCCACCCATTTTTCTACCGTGTTACAGGTTCGTCATTGCGCCGAAGACGGCGGGCTACACCGGCGGAGTTGGTGACGACGACGATGGCTGGGCGGTGGACGGGCAGCACGCACTCCGAAGCTTGGAAGATGCAGGGGTTTAGGGTTTAGGGTTTAGGGTTTAGGGTTTAGGGTTTAGGGTTTAGGGTTTAGGGTTTAGGGTTTAGGGGGGTCTACTCTCATCCCACTTCCCCACCTCCTTGGTAGCCTTGAGGTACCCTTTCACCTTTTTTTTGGTTCGAGGTGCCTATGAAGTACCCAACCCCAAAGGGTGCTCTTATTGTAACATGGGCTGCCAAGCCTCTTTGTCATTCTCGTGCTCTCCGGACCGAACACCTGGAAGGCCCGAAGTATCTAAGCTTTGAACCTGAAGCATTCCTGAACATCATGCCAGGTACCCAACTACATCCAAAGCACTGAACTCAAAAACCCTAAGCCCCTAAACCCTACACCCTACACCCGAAACCCTAAACCCTAAACCCTAAACCCTAAACCCCTAAAGCCTAAACCCTAAACCCCAGACCGATTCGAGGATGGCATTCCGGCAACAAGATGCCCTGGAACAGGCGCCCAGGGGCTCTTTCCCCCCAAATCCTCCTTGCTTTTGCTTTGTTCCTTTTTGCCTGTTTGTTTAGGGTTTAGGGTTTAGGGTTTAGGGTTTAGGGTTTAGGGTTTAGGGTTGAAGGTTAGCGACCTAGTAGGGCTTTGTGGGTTGTTGCGTTGGGAGCCTTGCCTTCAGAGGTAGACTCGCAGAAGTTCTCCTTCGCCGTTGGGTGAGCAGCCGTTAACCCTACAGGACCTTGAAGTCCGACCGACACCTCTCAGCCTAAACCCTATATGCTCCGAACTCTCAACCTTCAACCCTAAACCTTAAACCCTGAAACCTAAACCCCTAAACCCTAAACCCCTAAACCCCTAAACCCTGAAGCCCCCAAGTCCGACGTCCAGGTATTGGCCTTCAGCCGCCCACAACCCAAAGCAGCTGGAGCGCGACGTGGTCGTAGGCTTCTCGACGTTGTGAGGGGTTCTGTTTTGGGGTTTAGGGTTTAGGGTTTAGGGTTTAGGGTTTAGGGTTTAGGGTTTAGGGTTTAGGGCTTGTTTGATGGGTTGAGGGTTGCCGTACTGGGCTCGGTGATCAGATGCTTTGTCGGTGGAGTCTGATGGCGCTCCAGAGAAGCTCAAATGCCCACGTGCTACCCAGTGGCCCACGTGACTTCAAAGGGGGGTGAAGCAGAATTTGCCAAAGTGCACTTGCCCCCTGCCCCCCCCCGCCCCCACGCCGCCCCAAATCAAAGCAGGTGCTCCGAAACCCCCCAAGCCCCTAAATGAACCCTCTAATGCAGGGGTCGGAATAATTTCAAACCGTATTCCCTTATGGTCCCTTTCTAGACATACTATAACTTGCAGGGTTTCCAGGGGCTCAGGATCTGAGTCTTAAGGCTTTTGCGTGGCAAGAGCTCTTCACTTAGGTGTTGGGGCTGCAAAAGCCACGTACCTCATGTCGAAACCATCCGAGGCCTTAAGGCGTCGCTGTTAGCCCTACTTGGTGGCTCATGGCATTCATCAACCAACTGTATCTGTACTTATACCTGTACTTCTAACCATACTGGGGCACTTAAGGAGCTTATAAGTGGGTTATAAGTACAGTTATCATTGGTTAGGGTTTCGGGTTTGGGGTTTAGGGTTTCGGGGTTTAGGGTTTCAGGGTTTAGGGTTTGGGGTTTCGGGTTTGGGGTTAATAAGAACCATGAACCTCCAAGTCAGTTGCAGCTCCTGGGTTCAGCTCCCCAGACCTTAGGACTCCAACAGCACCTGACGGCCCGAGTCCCCCGCCCCCACCTTTTTTTGTTTCTGGAGAGGGAGGGTGGGTTTAGGGTTTAGGGTTTAGGGTTTAGGGTTTAGGGTTTAGGGTTTAGGGTTTAGGGTTTAGGGTTTAGGGTTTAGGGTTTAGGGTTTAGGGAGGGAGACAGGGAGAGAGCAAGAGAGATAAGGAGAGGAGAGAGAGAGAGAGACGAGCCCCCATGCCCTGCAGAAGAAGAAGAAGAAGAAGAAGAAGAAGAAGAAGAAGAAGAAGAAGAAGAAGAAGAAGAAGAAGAAGAAGAAGAAGAAGAAGAAGAAGAAGAAGAAGAAGAAGAGACGAGGCCTGGCCATCGACGTCGACTCGCGCATGTGCCTGGCACGGTGTTTTGAGGGGATGGTCGCGGTCTTTGTGCTTTGGGATGACAACTGTTAATTTCCCTTCTTCCCTGATAAGGGAACCTAATCACCAATAATTTTCAACGGCTCTTTACGCACAACTCTGTGAAGCTCAAGACTCCAAATCCGGGTGTAGGGGCTTCCGGTGGCTTCCAGGCTTGAGGTGGCGGATATCGGGCCACCCTAAGATGAGGTTGATGATTATCACTACTATTGTTGTTCTTCTTCTTATTATTATGATTCTTATTCTTATGCTTATTCTTATTCTTATTCTTATTCTTATTCTTATTCTCATTGTTACTCTCATTCTTCTTCTTATTGTTATTACGGTTATTGTTTTTATGATTATGATTGTGATGATGAATTGTTAATGCAGCGAGTTCATGAAACTAAGCAAAGAACTGAAGCATCAGAGAGGGCTAGGAAGCGTGGGATTCTCCTCGAAGTCCTCCTCCAAGCCACCGCCCGGTTTTGGGGGCTTAGGTTCAGGGTTAAGGAGGGCCGACCTGAAGGATTGACTTTTTTGCCAAGGAATATACGGACTGCGATAGAATACATGCTTGTGTATATCAGTAAATGTTAAAAGAATAAAAAAGAATAGAAATATACATGTATATATATACATAAATATAAATCGATAAATAAGTAAGTAAACAAATATATATATATATATATATATATATGTATATATACCCTAAACCCTAAACCCTGACACCCAAAACGCGCCAAAATGCCCGAGACAGGATCTGGGTGGCCTCCGATGGGGAGTGGGATGACGAGAAGACGCCGACCTTTGGACCGGATGCGATCCCGAAAGGCTAGGATCGTAGGGTTTAGGGTTTAGGGGTTTAGGGTTTAGGGTTTAGGGTTTAGGGTTTAGGGTTTAGGGTTTAGGATTTAGCACGGTGATGCTGCAAAGCTTTCTGAGCTCCAGCGCAACACAGCGGAGAGGGGCTAGAGGGGGTAGGCAGGGCTTCTATACGCAGTCGATACCGGAATCCTAAGTCCGAAGCGGCAAAACGCGAAGCTTCTGAACTTCGATAGCTCACCTCACTCAACTCCTCAGCCCTGATCGCCTAAATTCTTTAACTCCTGGGCCTTCAGCCCCTAAACTCTTGAGCAAAACCTAAACCCTAAACCCTAAACCCTAAACCCTAAACCCTAAACCCTAAACCCTAAACCCTAAACCCTCAAGCTAAATCCTAAACCTATACCCTGAGTTCTTTAGCTTAACTCCTGGACACTTAGCCCCTAAACTCCTGAGCTCCGCCGCCCCTGAATCCTCCCTACTACCCCCCTCTATACTACAACCCCCCTAGGCTCCCCTCCATATTTGAGGATAATGAAGCCTACTTCAGGTCATTTAAGGGGGTACCTAGGGGGGGTACTAAACCCTAAACCGGAAACCCCTAAACCCTAAACCCTAAACCCTAAACCCTCAACCCTAAACCCTAAACCCTAAACCCTAAACCCTAAACCCTAAACCCTAAACCTTAAACCCTAAACCCTAAACCCTAAACCCTAAACCCTAAACCCTATAAACCCTAAACCGTATAGGGAAGTATAGAGGGGGGGTAGTAGGGGAACCCATGAAACAACAGCCAAGTCCGCCATCCCCAGCAACCCACAGAGCAGCGCCCCTCGAAGTCTGGCTTGAGGGTTTAGGGTTTAGGGTTTAGGGTTTAGGGTTTAGGGTTTAGGGTTTAGGGTTTAGGGTTTAGGGTTTAGGGTTTAGGTCAAAAAAGCGCTTTTCCACAAACAACCCGCAGGGGCACCCTATGCTCCCCCTTATACGAACAGTCCTTAGCAGCGATGGTAGTACCCCCGATTAGAATCCCAAGCCGTCATCCCTAAACCTTAGACCCTAAACCCTAAACCCTAAACCCTAAACCCTAAACCCTAAACCCTAAACCCTAAACCCCAAACCCTAAACCCTAAACCCTATAGGCCCTCAAGCCTTCCTCCTCCTCATTTGCCAGGCCTGGCCTTCTACCCGGCCATGTCTCTGCGGGGCAGGGCCTCTTTCAACTTCGGCCCGAACTTCAAGAACAAGGCCTTCGGCTTTTAGGGTTCAGGGTTTAGGGTTTAGGGTTTAGGGTTTAGAGCTCTCAAGTTTTTCGGGTTTTGCGTGTTGGAGGGTGGGGTCTTTGCTCCCAAAATTGCGTCGTGGGCCCCCAACATGTGTTGGGGGGGTGGGGGGTTAGGGCTGAAACGGTGCCTTCAAATCCCATGTGCTCCCTTGAACTTTCAAGCCCTGAACCCGATGTCTGCAAGGCCCCAAAAGCCCGAAAACCAACACCCCTAAGCCCTAAACCCTAAACCCTAAACCCTAAACCCCAAACCCTAAACCCTCAACCCTCAACCCAATACCCTAAACCCTAAACAACAGGCTCCTGTTTTCGGGCGCCGGTCCTTCGCCAGTTGGCCCGGCATGCCCGATGGCAAAGTGCGGGCGGCCGCATCGCCTGCAACCAGGGGTTTTGGGTCGAGGGCCGCTTGAGGTTTAGTGTTTAGGGTTTAGGGTTCAAGGCTAAGGGTTTAGGGTTTTTGGGTTTAGGGTTTAGCAGGCATTCCCCGCCACAGAAGGCGTGCAGGTTTGAGGTGGTTGTAGCGAGAGGACCTTCTCAGAGGGCCCGGGGTGTACCCATCCCAAAAACGCTGGATTTTCAGCGGGTATGTTCACCAGTCTGCTAAGCCCTGAACCCTGAACCCTAAAGCCTAAACCCTAAACCCTAAACCCAAAACCGATGAACCCTAAATCCTAAACCCTAAACCCCAAACCTTTGAAGCCCCAGCCCCTTCCGCATTCCGCCTCCTAAGACTCCAGGTCCCAGTTGTCAGGGCTTGAGGGGCGTCAGGGGGGTTTAGGGGCTTCCCTAAACCCTATAAACCATAAACCCTAAACCCTGAACCCTAAACCCTAAAAACTAAACCCTAACCCTAAACCCTACTCTAAACCCTAAACCCTGAACCCTAAACCCTAAACCTTTGTGTCCCGGCAATCGCTAGGATGTGCCGATCATTGGCGATGAGAACAACGTCGGCATCTACAAGGACATGCGATCTTAACTTTCCAGAGGGAGCTTCGGTTTGGGTTTAAAGGCGCAGCGGAGGCTATACTTTGTGGTGCTTTACTGTAACTTTAGATCCTTAGCTTTTTTGGGTTTATTGGCTTTCTTAATAAGGCAGCTAAAAGTTCGATTTTTTTACTACCCTCCTAAGTGCAGCCAAGAATATATCGACTTGCAGTGGCTACTTTTGGGGAAGCTGTGAATCGCACAGCCATGCGTTGGGCAGAAGTCTTGCATTGTGGAGAGGTTTGGTTATGTTTGGTTCCATTGCTGTACGCAGCGCTTCGGAACTTTCTAGCCCGCAATCCACATCGCCAACCCGCTTAGCCTAATAAGAAATCTCGGCCGCAGGAGATTCAGATCCATGGCGAGGTGAGCTTGAGTAACAACGTGCAGCGCCTCGCTCCTTGGTGGTGCTTCCTGAGCCTCCCATCCAACCCTAAACCCTAAACCCTAAACCCTAAACCCTAAACCCTAAACCCTAAACCCTAAACCCTAAACTCTAAACCCTGAACCCTAAACCACACTTCATAGGGTCTGGTTCCGTACCCTTCGTTACCCTGGTTCAGCTGTCAATGTTGAGGGAGCGAGAATCTTAGAAAGGTTTGGGGGTCTTGGCTCCCCACCGCAATAAAAAGGCTCTCAAAGATCCGTGGCCCTTGTCTCCCCAACCTTGCCAGGTCCTAAACCCTAAACCCGAAACCCTAAACCCGAAACCCTAAACCCTAAACCCCTAAACCCTAAACCCTAAACCCCTCCGTGACTGAGCATTCCAGTGAGCACCATGCTCAGGTCGCCAACCGCAAGTACTTGGATCGCAGCAAGGACAGCGGAAGTTGGCCCAGCCTGCGGCGGGTAGGGTTGTAGGGAGGGTTTAGGGTTTAGGGTTTAGGGTTTAGGGTTTAGGGTTTAGTGTATAGGGTACTGGGTATAGGGTGTTCTAGAAAGATCCTTCAAGAATAGCACGGCGCCAGGAGCAGCGGTCTTGGGGTTTCTTCATCGACAACCTGGGCGCCGCCGAAGGCGGTGAGATGCGGCAACGTGTAGGGGTGAGAACGGCGCAGTTTAGGGTTTAGGTTTTAGGGTTTAGGGTTTAGGGTTTAGGGTTTAGGGTTTAGGTACTGACATGTCACATCGGGGTTTATCAGGTACGTAACTTGGGATGTTCCCCCTTATTACATATAGCAGTCCGCAACAGGGATTATGATAGGGGTACTACAGTCCCTATGAAGGAATGTTTGTTTCAGGGGAACATCCCAAGGTTTATGGTTGAATGTGTGAATAAGTTTCAGGGGTTAAGGGTTCAGGGTCTTCGGTGGACTGAAGTTGCACCCTAAACCCTAAACCCCCCTAAACCCCCCTAAACCCCCCTAAACCCCCCTAAACCCCCCTAAACCCTAAACCCTAAACCCTAAACCCTAAACCCTAAACCCTAAACCCTAAACCCTAAACCCTAAACGACCCTAAACCCTAAACCCTAAACCCTGAACCCTGAACCCTAAACCCTAAACCCTAAACCCTAAACCCTGAACCCTAAACCCTAAACCCTAAACTCTAAACCCTAAACTCCAAACCCGAAACCCTACACCCTAATCCCAAAACCCTACACTTTCGGCCCCTGGAGGCAGCTATGGGCGCACGGGTGCTGAGAAGGGCATGCCGGTCTTCACCCAGAGGTGCGAGGGGTGGGGGGTGTTTTTTTGGTGTAGGGTTTAGGGTTTAGGGTTTAGGGTTCAGGGTTTAGGGTTTAGGGTTTACGGTTTAGGGTTTAGGGTTTAGGGTCTGGAGGCTCTGCTTGAAATCCCCTGGGTTTGAAGGAGCAAGGGACCTCCGCAAAAACTAAAAGCCACGACTCCGGGCTGTGCGCGATGTTGAGGGCCCCCAGCCTGTAGGCCCCTCAGCTGGGGCTTTCCTGATTTATCTAGGGTGCAGGGGTTTTCGACGAAGCCCCAACCCTAAAGCCCTTCTGACCCTGAGCCCTGCAACTCCTTTGCTGGACCCCAAACCCCAGCACCTCAACGCCTGAACCCTAATTCTTGAACCCTAAACCCTAAACCCTAAACCCTAAACCCTAAACCCTAAACCCTAAACCCTAAACCCTAAACCCTAAACCCTAAACCCTAAACCCTAAACCCTAAACCCTAAACCCTAAACCCTAAACCCTAAACCCTAAACCCTAAAAACCCTAAACCCTAAACCCTAAACCCTAAACCCTAAACCCTTGGGACCCCCAAGCCCTCTTCAGCGGAAGGACGGGCGGGCATAAGTTGCTTCACGACGCCTCCAAGAAAATCTGGAAGGCCCACAGTCGCTTTCTGCAGGTTCCCCTTGATATATGGGGGTTTCCTAAAACACCCTTTTTGAGGGGTTAAGAAAAGTGCCCGAAGGTGTCCGAGGTCACAGATTTTCTTGACATCCATTGTTTTCTCGGTTCAGCAGGTGCAGTGGCCCTAAACCCTAGACCCTGGACCCTAGACCCCAGACCCTAAACCCTAAACCCTAAACCCTAAGCCCTAAACCCTAAACCCTAAACCCTAAACCCGAAACCCAACCTAAACCCTAAACCCTAAACCCTAAACCCTAAACCCTAAACCCTAAACCCTAAACCCTAAACCCTAAACCCTAAACCCTAAACCCTAAACCCTAAACCCTAAACCCTAAACCCTAAACCCTAAACCCTAAACCCTAAACCTAACCCTAAACCCTAAACCCTAAACCCTAAACCCTAAACCCTAAACCCTAAACCCTAAACCCTAAACCCTAAACCCTAACCTAAACCCTAAACCCTAAACCCTAAACCCTAAACCCTAAACCCTAAACCCTAAACCCTAAACCCTAAACCCTAAACCCTAAACCCTAAACCCTAAACCCTAAACCCTAAACCCTAAACCCTAAACCCTAAACGCCTAAACCCTAAACCCTAAACCCTAAACCCTAAACCCTAAACCCTAAACCCTAAACCCTAAACCCTAAACCCTAAACCCTAAACCCTAAACCCTAAACCCTAAACCCTAAACCCTAAACCCTAAACCCTCTTTTACTATGTATATTTAAACCCTAATGACCTTCGTCGGCAAATGGTTTTTTTCCACCCGGGGGGGGGCCCTAACCCTGACCCCCTTCGTCGGCAGATGGTTTTTTTCCACCCGGGGGGGGCCCTAAACCCTGACCCCCTTCGTCGGCAAATGGTTTTTTTCCACCCGGGGGGGTCCTAAACCCTGACCCCCTTCGTCGGCAAATGTTTTTTTTCCACCCGGGGGGGGCCCTAAACCCTGACCCCCTTCGTCGGCAAATGGTTTTTTTCCACCCGGGGGGGGCCCTAAACCCTGACCCCCTTCGTCGGCAAATGGTTTTTTCCACCCGGGGCCCCCCCAAAACACCCCAAATGAGGGGGACCCCAGGATCGGCCCCCAATTGGACTTTGAGCTTTAAGCCTACCGGGAAAGTATTGAGTGAACTTTATATTTTCTCAATGTTATGGGTTTCTTGGGTGGGTGGGATTTTTTTCCAACGCTTGACAAACTGCTTGACTAGTGAATGCTCGGACTTGAGATGCTGAACCCTAAACCCTAAACCCTAAACCCTAAACCCTAAACCCTAAACCCTAAACCCTAAACCCTAAACCCTAAACCCTAAACCCTAAACCCTAACCCCTAAACCCTAAACCCTAAACCCTAAACCCTAAACCCTAAACCCTAAACCCTAAACCCTAAACCCTAAACCCTAAACCCTAAACCCCAAACAAACCCGACAGGTGGTTCATCCCGACCGCCCAGATGAAGCCATCGCGCAGGCCCCCGCCAAGGCGGGCCAGGGCCTATCAGTCAGCATCAGATGGTTTAGGGTTTAGGGTTTCGGGTTTAGGGTTTAGGGTCTAGGGTTTTTAGGGCTTAGGAATTTTCTGAACAGACCATGCGCTACTCCCAGAACATCCCAGAACCCCTGAAACCTCCGCCCAAAGAGCCCTCATCCTTGCCTTGCTAGGCCCTGGGAGCTCAAATATCCCGCAGCACCCGCGAGCAGCGATCCCGCATGACCCTAAACCCTCAACCCTAACCCTAAACCCTAAACCCTAAACCCTAAACCCTAAACCCTAAACCCTAAACCCTAAACCCTAAACCCTAAACCCTAAACCCTAAACCCTTAACCCTTAACCCTTAACCCTTAACCCTTAACCCTTAACCCTTAACCCTTAACCCTTAAACCCTTAACCCTAAACCCTAAACCCTAAACCCTAAACCCTAACCGCTCCTCCGTTCCAAGCCCAAATGCGGGACAGCAGCGATCCGAGGAGCCTCCATCGGTACTTTAGAGGGTTTAAGGTTTAGGGTTTAGGGTTTAGGGTGACCCCAACCCCCGCAAAGCTCTCATACCCGCGACACTGGCGAGAACCTTAACCCTCCGAAACCCTAACCCCTAACCCCTAACCCCTAACCCCTAACCCCTAAACCCTCAACCCAGTCCCTTAACAGGGATTCTAGTAGCCCCCCCCTCCCCCCTATGAGAACCCTAAACCCTAAGCCCTAAACCCTAAAACCCTAAGACCCTAAAACCCTAAAGCCCTAAAACCCTAAACCCTTAACCCTTAACCTCAACCCTTCAGGACGGCCAAATCGACCCCCCGCGTGATGGCTGGGAAGTGCCCGAGGCGAGCAGTGCAAGAGAATTGGGGCAGCGTAGCTTCGAGTTTCTAACAGCCCTAAGCAGGCCTCAACAGATGCTCCACAACCCCAACCCTAACCCTAACTACCCTAAACAGCTGACCCTAACCCTGACACGTACCGACCCTTGAGGAGATGCGCGGGTACGTGCCCCAGGACCTGCTGGTGCAATGGGAAAGTTGCGGCGACAGTTTCTGAAAGTTTCTGAGCTTTGCAATGGTTCCCACCGGTCTCCATATCCTGGCCCTTCAAGGCTAGGGACCATCTAAGTGCATCCAGACGGCTGCACCAGCTGCTAGCACTGCAGTCGTGTAGTTTCAGTTTCTAACCGCTCCTTTTTCAGCCCTAAACCCTACACCCTAAACCCTAAACCCTAAACCCTTTCTGGCTCGGTCTGTTTTCATTGCGCTGTCCCTCTCTCAGTCGCTCTCAGAGTCTCTCTCTCTCTCTCTCTCGTGGCAGCTGCTAGGGCTCTAGTCATCAGCGGAAGGCCCTGAAAGCCGGAGAGTTTATGAAGGCTCTGCAGGCATGTGGGTCCCTCTGAATTAGGGACATTGAAGGCCGGAGAACGGTCCAGAGTGAGGAGTACTGAATGGTATAACCTCAAAACCTTAAAGGGGTGCATGTTTCTCCTAAGCCGCAAGGTCCACCAGTACTTGGGCGCTCCAGAACGTAAACCCCCCGTCAGGACATCTTCCAGCAGGGAATGAAGGTCCGTGGGAGCTGGGTCAAGCGCAAAGCGACATCTTTGCGTGAAGGCATTGTAGTCTTGTGCAGGCTGTATTTAAGGTTCAGCAGAGGTGTACAAGAACGCAAGCTCCAAATCCTAAAGCTTAAGGGGCTTGTGGTTTAGGGCTACGCGGATGCCTTGTGCAGGAAGCAGGAATCAGCGATGCTGACTGCAACCTGACCGCATGCAGCCTCGAAGCCGCGCCCCCTTGTAGTGCAGACCTAGCACACCCAAAGCCCACTGGTTTAGGGTTTAGGTTTTAGGGTTTAGGGTTTAGGGTTTAGGGTTTAGGGAGACTAACAGGGTAAGTTGGGCAGCCCAAGTACAGGGCCCTGCGGCTACCTTGGGGGGGTTCAGGGTTCAGGGTTTAGGGTTTCGGATGAGCCGTCGAGGATTGAGGGTTGATGTGGGAAATGGTTTTGAAACCCTAAACCCGAAACCCAAAACCCTAAACCCGAAACCCAAAACCCTAAATCCTCAACCCTAAACCCTAAACCCTAAACCCTAAACCCTAAACCCTAAACCCCAAACCCTAAACCCTAAACCCTAAACCCTAAACCCTAAACCCTAAACCTCGCAAAGGCAAGAAGCTCGTGGGCGTCCTGGGCAAGGATGGCAAGGTGCGCTGCTCTGACTCCTCGAGCCCCAAGCTTCTGCTTAGCTCTAGCAACCCAGGGTTTAGGGTTTAGGGTTTAGGGTTTAGGTTTAGGTTTTAGGGTTTAGGTTTAGGGTTTAGGGTTTAAAGCTTAGGGCTTAGGGTGTAGGGTTTAGGTTCAAGGTTTAGGGTTCCGAAATGCTTAATGCTCAAAAACCCAGCCCCGTAGGCCCTGGAACCAAAAGGTCCTAGAACCCCCGAACCCGACACTGAAATCCCAAGCCTTACAAGCCCTAAGCCCTAAACCCTAAACCCCAAGCCCTAAACCCTAAACCCGAAACCCTAAACCCTAAACCGCGAAGAATCTACTCCGAAGCCAGGTTTGCCGCTTCCGTGGCAAGGCCAGCTTTCACGAGGCAACACGGGGCGTATTTTGGGTTCGGTTATGAGGGTTCGGGTTTAGGGTTTTAGGGTTTAGGGCTTTTAGGATTTAGGGTTTAGGGTTCAGTATTTAGGGTTGAGGGACTACAACGCTTTTCAGGTGTCAGGGCTCAGGGTTCTAGACAAAAGGGCGCCTTCATTGGCTTGATATACTTACCCAAACCTTCAACGCCAAGCCTCAAGCCCGCAGAATTGCATCCTGGCTGACCTGCATAAACATTCTTGCGATCCGGAGTGTTCATCGTTTAGTAATCCATGCCCTAGACGTTTAGGGTTTAGGTTTAGGGTCCTGCGCCGGGCCAGGAGTGGTCCAAGTTGAGCTCCGAGAAGAATGCGGAGGAGGCGCAAGAAGCGCCCAAAAAACACCGCAGAATGCCGAGTGAGGTTGCTTAGGCTTGAGGAGCCCGGAGCCCTCAAACGTCCTCAGACCTTGGGGAAAATGTGTGATCAGAGGTCCGCCCTGAACCCCAACGCCCTGAATCGAGATCCAACGAAACTCCGAACCTCGGACTGTCCTGAAGTTCCTCCATCGGAGCACAGGCATGGGAGGCGTGCGTCACAGTGGTGCAGAACAAGCTGCTGAAGGACCAAAGCCTAAACTTAGGATTTCTACAGGCGTGGGGACTGTCGGCACTGTGCTAGAGTCGCACACAAGTAGGCCATCCCCAGTATCATTCCCAAACCACAGGCTTTGGGCTTTGGGCTAGCACCGGGGCGGTGTAGCCTTTAGGCAATTTAGGGAAACCTAAACACTGAACCCTGAACCCTAAACCCTAAACCCTAAACCCCAAACCCAAAACCCAAAACCCCAACGACGAAAGGGAACCCACAGTCTGTGCCAGAAGGCTGCCACTGAATTGACAAGTACAGTCCTCAAGACCATCACCAGCAAGAATTTAGGGATAAATAAGCTGGGGGGGGGGGGGGGAACTTAGGGGGGTACTATGGAGGGGGGTAGTAGCTCTAAACCCCAAACCCAAACCCACCACGCTTCGCCCAAGGCACAAAGGCCGCCACGAAAGCCCCAATGCCCTCAACCCAAACACCCCAAACACTCCTAGACATCTCAAACCCCTCCCCATAAACGTCTCGGGTTGAAGCTCCAATCGAAACTCCAACCGCAGACCAGGATCAGGGCATCCCCAATGGACAAGTGGTAGAGACACTCCATCCCTATCCTGCAAAGAGCCACCTGGCCTAGGATAGGGCTCAGCGCTTTCAGATTGGGGCGTGCAGTTGAGGGGTGGGCGGCTGGGAGCTTGTAAAGGTTTAGGCTTCTCGGGTGCAACAAGGCACGTCGGGTTTTGCTCGGGGGTCCGTAGGTTGTTTTTTTTGCCTGTCAAGCGTTCGTTCTCCTAGACACAAGGGATGAACACAGCAAAAGCGTCTGCGATGTAGTATGTGATTCTCTTTCTACTGAATACTTATCAAATGCGTATTCTCATTGAACCATGTGACGAACCTTGAAGAGGACTTCAGATTTTGGGCTCGTTGTAGGTCGTCAGCATTTCTATGAGGGGACTTTCACACTTCAGTATGACTGTACCCGAAGGCGAATGGTAGGTTGCCGTGTTTAAAGTCAACGCGGTAAGCAAGACAACTTATGGTAGAATCTTTCATAGGGCGCCGATAGATCTGTTTATGGCTAATGCCTTCTTTTTGTCTTGAGGTGCCTTTGTGCTTTGCTTGTCGTGTGCAAGTGTTGGGCGGGGGGGGGGGGGGGGGGGGGAGGGGTGGTTCTGGGCTCAAAGGTTTGAGCACCCTGAATGGCTTTGAGGGCTTCAGGATTTATCGGGGTCCCGGGTGTTTTTCAATCCAGCCATACGGTTTGCCTTGGGGCCTATCTGAGAACTCTGAGGAGTGTGCTTTAGGCCATCTCATCTTGGTCCCTGCTCTCAGCGCCCAAATTGCTCGGCCTTGGCAGAGGTCATAGCTGGACCAAGAGCGTCAAGTTCGAGAACACCAAGAAGCTGGAGGCCACCTTTAATGAAACTTTAGTGGTTCAGGGCTTAGGGTCTAGACTGTCGGGTGTAGGGTTCAAGGTGTTGGGTGAATAGTTCTATATACGTCTTTCAAGTACGGGGGGTGGAGTAGGTGGACCTTCACACTGCGTCGTTTGAAGGGTTTAGGTTTGTTGAATCCCAAACCCTGTGAACCAAACCTAGCACACAAGTCCATGATCTCCAAAGACCTCCTCCTTCCATCGCAGCAATTCCTTCGCTCTTTTTGCCTCCGCTGTGCAGCAACAGTGAGAGCAGACATCGAGATCTTGCAAGGTTTTGGCTGTCGGGGGTTTTGGCTGTTGGGTACCACTGACAGGTCAACGTGCGGTTGACGAAACCCTAAACCCTAAACCCGAAACCCTAAACCATAAACCCTAAACCCTTTATTACAAACTCGCGCCAAATCGTCGCCCTAAAGCTTGAATGTGGGCCTGTAAAGACCAGTCATCCGGGCATCGTAAGGGTTTATTTGGGATAGCACGCCCGCCTAAAAGTCCATTGCCAGGGGTCCCAGGTGGAGCCCTGTTTAGGTATGGGTTTAGGGTTTAGGGTTTAGGGTTAGGGTTTAGGGTTTAGGTTTTAGGTTTTAGGTTTTGGGGTTGAGGGTTTGTAGCATGGTGTGTCGACCTTAAACGCTAGGAACCGAAGGACGTGCGTGTGCTTTGCAGGCTCGGCCAGCCCGAGGAATTTAGGGTTCGGGGGGGGGTGTAGGGCTCTGAAAAGAATTCAACTTACCACCCTGACTGGCTCCTTTGGCTCCTTTCGACAATTCAGGTAGGGGGCACCGTCCACACAGGTCCGGAATTGCTGAGTTTTGGGGTGGGGTGGGGTGGGGTGGGGGGGGCGTTGTGTCAGACGCTTCAGGGTTTCTAAGCCCAAACCCTCAGCGTTGTCCAGCTCGTTACTCTCTTGCGTTGGTGATGTTGGTTGTCTGGTGGGCAGTAGGGTTCAGGGATGCGCGACGCCGAAAGCCAGAACACGCAGAACACTCCATACTCCATACCCTCAGCCTTAGGGGGGCCTGGCTGTTGCAAGGTGACCTTTGCGGACAACTGCCAGACATACGACAGCTGCGCCTATCTGAGCACCTGGCCCTGGATCTACTGGGGGCAGGGACCTTTTCGGAGCTTCACGGATGGCCGTGCCTAGTTAACGTACAGCCCAGTTAGGCAGTGAATGAATTAAATGACATCGCTAGTGTGGCCGGGCATGTAGCAGCAACGTTTTGAAAGCAGGAAGGAATGATCCGAAGAGCGAGAGATAACACGAAGGGAAGGCCTGCAGGGGATCAAGAGCTGAAGTTCCACGCAACAAAAACGGGTGCTTGCTGCGTGCGGCCATTATTTTAGTTCGCAACACCGGTCGCATGGCGAAACGCAGCAGCTGCAGCTTAAGGTTTCGAGATGTCGAGAGCTTGCACGGTTTTGTACCAGGTCCAGGGCGGCTTCAGTTTCAGATGGCAGTGTAACATCATGCACAAGGTCAAGCTTCGTGTCGATTTTTGGTCATGGATGAGCCACTGACCTTTCCCCTGTGACGTTGCATCCTTATTTGTTAATACTATCCCAAGCATGAACCAGTTTATGCCAAGTTCAGGGCGGCTTCAGGGTCGGCACTGCGCCATCATGCGCAAGATCAAGCTTCGTGTCGATTCGGGCTTTAGGGTTTAGGGTTTAGGGTTTGGGTGTGATGTTGCGTCCCTCGCACCCCCAGCTGAGCCTCGCAAGGGACTTAAGCAGCGCAGGGCGGCCCTTGAAAGGGTTTTGGGATGCAGTGTTGGGATGTTCCTTAGGGTTTAGGGTTTAGGGTTTCCCCCCTTATGCTCGCAGTCCTACTTTATAGGGATTAGAATCGGGGGTACGTTCGTCCCTATTAAATAGGGCTGTTAGTACATAATGGGGATCATGATCGGGGGTACGTTCATCACGATTAAGGGCTGTTTACTCGTATAAGGGGGAACCTCCCAAGATGCAGGCTGCAAGGTTTCGAGGTAGCATCCTTTTTTGGGGGGGAATTGCAGACTCGAGAGGGGCTTCAGGGGGCTGCCCCGCCATCGGTAGGACGCGTGGGCGAAGAAGTTCGCTGTCAAGTATAGGTGGCTTTGGAGGCAGCTCTTCGCTAGCCTAGGTTGCCGCGAAACTTCCTAAACCCTAAACTCTAAACCCTCAACCCTCAACCCTCAACCCTAAACCCCAAACCCTCAACCCTCAACCCTAAACTCTAAACCCAAAACCCTAAACCCGAAACCCAAAACCCTAAATCCTCAACCCTAAACCCTAAACCCTAAACCCTAAACCCTAAACCCTAAACCCTAAACCCTAAACCCTAAACCCTAAACCCTAAACCCTAAACCCTAAACCCTAAACCCTAAACCCTAAACCCTAAACCTCACACCTGGGCGCACCATACTGCAAGGGTGTGCGAAGTTGGGTCTCCAGGCATCTGCAGCGGCTCGCTGCGCAAGACTTCCGCGGGCGTCGGTGCGCGTGTCCAGGTCAAGGCGAGGATTTGGGGTTTAGGATTTGGGGTTTAGGGTTGGGGGTTTAGGGTTTGAGGTCTAGGGTTCAGGGCTCAGGGTTCAGGGTCTCGGGCAAGTCTCAAGGTTTCCGCAAAGTCTACGTGTCAGGACTTGTTTTCCCGAAGCTCTGGAGGGTACGTTTACGCTTCTGGGAGGTGAGGCTGTGGGGGGAAGGTTTAGGGTTGGAACGTTTGCAGGGCTGAAGTCTTCGGTTGGGCTTCAAAGTTGGATCTGCCTCCCCAAACCCCAAACCTCTAGCCCGAAAGCCCTAGACCCTACCCTAAACCCCAAACCCTAAACTCCAAACCCCTAAGGCCCTTTCCAGCTCTGCAAGCATCCATGGCACCTTGGCTTGATGGGCTGTAGAAGGACAGGTTTTTTTAGGCTTCGGCTTCGGGGTTTTTTCGGCTTGCCATTGTGTAAGGCGTCCGGGGTTCAGTGGGCTTAGGCTTTGGGAATCTTCTTTCGGCTTCACTTGTGTAAGGCTTCCAGGGTTCGGTTTGGTGGGATCTTTGTCTCCCGAATCTTCGTTTTAGCTTACAGACCGCATGAACCCAATGTAGGGTTCGGGGTTTGGTCTGAGGGCTCCGAGGACACAGGATTCTACCTTTCGGGGCGCACTTTCTCCTGCTTACGTCAGCCTGGTGGAGGGGGGCCTTCTCTGATAGCCATTGCGCGTGCATGTGGCAAGAAGAGAGCAGGGGGGGGGGTGCGCGTTCTGGATCCGGTCTTCTATATAACTGCAAGCACTACACACTCCTCAACCGCGGACCCTGCACCTCAACCCCTAAACCGAGCTTGCTTCTTTTTTTTGGCAGTTCCGGGTCTCGAGGCGCTGGTGAACCCTCAATTTTGGTGCAACACAAGCGACAGACCCACTAAGGCTGTAGGGGGTTTCAGGTTTAGGGCTCATTGAAGCTGTAGGGTGCAGGTTTCAGGCTTAGGGTGTGCAGAATATGGAAAGCTGTACCTAAGGCGGCTGCACGTGAAGTCGGCTACGCGATGTGCAGTCGTCCACACGTGAAGCCCTAGACCCACAGGCTAAACTACAAGGGACAGGTTCTTTGCCGCTCAACCTTCCAAAATCCGCAAAGCCGCGAAGCCCCATGTCCCGTGCCCATCTGAGGAACCTTGACAGGTCGCCTGGAAGGAGGCAAGTGGAGCGTCCGTGGCTGGGCGGAGTTTATGTGCGTTTGGCAACAGAGGTTTGAGGCAATCTTGTGAGACTGACCAACCCCAGTGACAGACTCTTGGGCCCAAAACGTTCAGGCGAGTCTCCTTCTTGAGCGCTCCCTGGCGTGAAGATACAAAGCCTTGCACCCTGTGCCCAACCCTAAACCCTAAACCCGAAACCCTAAACCCTAAACCCTAATCCCTTTTTTGAATGAAGGGTCCAAAGATACCCTAAACCCTGATCCCTATACTGACCCTCAAAAAGCCCAATGCCAAAGCCCCACTGCAGTGAACCCGAAGTCCAAAACCCTGAATTGTGCTACACCCCACACTCTGAAGTCTAAAGCTTAAAGTCAACACTGAACCATCCTGCAACCCACGTCCTTAACTTAAGGTAAACCCTAAACCCTGAACCCTTGAACCCTAAACCTTAATAAGCAAGCCCTCACACCCTGGGCTGCCTGCACTGTGGGCCGCGACCGAGAAATCGACCACGACGAGGCGGAGATCTCCTCGGAGTTCCGCAAGTGGCTGGAGGCCCAATCTTAGGCTGTAGGGCTTAGGGTTTGGGTTGGGGGAGACAGCGCTCTCTTCAAGGCCCAAATTCAACGCTCACTTGAAGGAAGCTGTCAACTCCACATCCGACACGCAGAGCCTGAAATTCTGAGCCCCGAATCAGAAGGGTAGTGGTGGTGCCCTGAGCCCGAAAGGAAACCCTTGCCCGGGTCATTGTTGAAAATCATTTTACATTTTTATGAATACTTAAAGCCAGTAAGGACCAAAAGTGATCATTTTTGGTTGTACCCCACCTTTGATGCAGTGCGCCCCCCCTCCCGCCCCCCCCCCCAACTTGCACGCGCAAGCTTCCCAGGAGGCGCCCGGTCGCAGCAGCCGCGTTGTCGTGGCCCAGGACCTGAAACGAGCAGATGTGCAGCTTGGTCACCATTCAGTGTCCGGGCATTCAGCTTTGATAGGACAGTCTGACAGGCACAACGGAGTTGGAAGAGTTGAACCCCTTCTAAACCAGAATCGGGACGCAACTTTGCATCGTGCTTTTTGATTGCGGGGCCAGCGCTAGAGATGCCAGTGCCGGCTGCCATGTTGATCAATACTACCACCCAATGTCGCCACTGTGAGCCGAAGTGGCATTTGAGGTTCCCGCTTTGGTTTCAACAACTTGTGAGCAGCAGTGCCGTCGGCATTGTCATTCTGTTCACTAGGAGCATGAGGATAATTTGCGTATAGTTATCCATCAACATTGTCATCATCGTCTCCATGATGATGATGATGATGATGATGATGATGATGATGATGATGATGATCATTGTCACGTTGGCAGTCCATGACATGAAGCAGGTTCAGCATTGCGCGAGAAACCGCGGCAGACCTGCACGGTTATTTGGGGCACATCAACCGATACTCAAAGCCGCAACCCACTCTAAAGACCTGACAGCCCTAAGCACCCTGTGCAAAGTGCGCGAGAGCGTGCTGAGGTATTACGAGGATGGGTACAAGGCTCGCCGACTGCGCCATTCCTGCTGGGTTGAATAGTTGTTGGCTCCCAAAGCCCTTGCAAAGCCTCAAGCTTCCCAAGCCCCTACAGCTCAAACCCCTAGACTCCGTCTCGGCGGGTATGAGGACTCGGCATTAATTAGTAGGGGAGATTGAGTGCGGTGTTTAGGTTGTGCAGTTTGGGATTTAAGGCTGACACCCCGATTTGCATGCATCCAGTGGTGTGCCCAACCCCAGAGTATCTTCAGAGAGTTCCGGGAATACCCAACCCCGGAGTAGCCCCAGAGTATCCCTGCAGTGCCCAAGCCAAGAGTATCCCCCACAGAGCCCCTGGAAAAGAAGCTCCAAACACCAAGACACGCGGCACGCGCATGGGCAGGTTGGAGATGAGATCTACGGCTTCGCTATGGACAGGGTTTTGGAAACGGACGTCGCTCCCCAAAGTATCCTTACTTGGCGCAGACGAGACCGAAAATCAGAGGCTTACCCAGAGAGCCCAATACCCCTTGATTAAGGAATGTACCCTGAGTTATACAGGGATCCTTGCTATGATTTGAGGATTATTCCTGAAAAAGGGGTATTGGGCTCTTTGGATACAAGCCTGGATCTGTCTGACTATCTCAGGATCCTCTCCTAAACCCTAAACCCTAGACCCTAAACCCTAAACCTAAACCCTAAACCCTAAACACTAAACCCTAAACCCTATGTATCCACCTATGTATCTAGCTAGTTTCTTGGGTCGACACTCCACATGGCCCGGCGGGTTTCGGGGATTAGGTCAGGCTTCTCCTCTACTCCCTAGTGGATATGGTAGTTCAGCTGCCAGTTCAACTGCGGCCCCGTTGATCGAGATGTGGGCATGAGGTCAAGGAAAAGGCCGCTGAACTGCTTCACCCTAAATCCAGTCCTACATACGAACAGCCTCTGCACGCGGGGTAGCTTGTGA